AAATTACACAGCAAGGCCCTGTTTCAATTTAAAAAGCTTCATATGTGATTCTAGGGTGGTAGAAAGCATCTTGTTAGCCTGCAGTTTCTGACTAACAGAGCTGGTGTGAGGTCCTCGACTCCTCATCTCTCAGGCTCCTGATGGGTACCAAATGCTACTAGCTCATGGACCGCACCTAGGATAGCTAAGATTCAGCAGTGGATCGGGATAAACCAGGCCAGAACTGAATGCCAGGCTAACTTAAATCTGGAAATGCTAGGTTCCGTTATTACAGACAGCTAAGATAGAGTTAACAGATGGAGAGGGATCAGACCTCCAGGGAGTCAGTGCGAAAGACGACACATGTCAAAATTATGAATGAAGGTGCTTTTAGAGAGAGCCAGGCCTCAAGATGGAGATGTGACGGCCAGGCCAGCGAGCCTCTTTCTGCTGGTAGGAAGTTTGGTGACACTTCAGTACCTCACGGATCTCTCTGGGAAGCACAGCTATCACAGAATAGAGAGCAGCTCGTTTCCCATGGTCAAAGCCTAACAGAAGACTTCCTTGAATTCACCTGAAATAACTACTGACCAGTCTGAAGAGCCCTGGGGTTGCGATTCTGTCTCCTAGGGGTGTCAGAAGTGTATGGACTCAACACAGCACAAATGGGGCCAAGAACTCTTACAGCCTGAGAGGCCCAGTGTAAGTCCTGATCCTCATGAGTTGGCCTTGGACTCTGTTCAACCTGCCTGGGCCTCAGTGGTCTTCCTCATATTATGGAGGTAATAAGACTAACCCTGCATGATCATGTCAAGATTAGAGGGATCTAATGTAACCCCCAAGTGCCCACTTTTACCACGATGGCAGGTCTCAGTGCTACCTCTAGGGAAAAGGACACCAAAGACTGAAAGGAGTCAGAGAGCTTTCACCCTCTCGTGTTCACCCACAGTGGACTCTTAAATTCATGAGTGCTGGTTTATGAATTAGCCAGATTGTATTTATGTGTTGTTAGCTCAGAATACTGGATCTTAGGTTCTCGACCGTCCCACAGTGAGGACCCTTGTGCTTTGGGGGCAGCCAACTAGCGGTCAGCTTTTTTAGAAGATACTGTCCTTATTCCCTGGTGGCTTGTGTGTTATCTGAGAAAAATCAGTCTGCTGTGTATTACAGCAGACATTCTCAAGCTGAACTAGTCCTAACGAGACAGGGAATGAAACTCCCAACCTACTAGCTGTCCAGTACAAGTTCATGTTCTCTGAAACTGAAGAATGAATTTTAGGAACAATGGAGGTTAAGAGCAGAAATAGTTATTGAGAGAAATAAAGCTTCTGTCTGAGAGAGAGAGATAGAAGGGGTCCCGAGTGGGTTGCCAAGGACCCTGGCTTTTCTAGAGATTTTATATGAGCAAAACCGTGAGGTAAGACAGGTGCAAAGTGGGGAAAAATGGGAACACACAAGGTGGGCATGAGGTGGGACAGAGCTGTGGTCAACCAATAAGGTTACTTTTTCATGTAAAATTGACCAAAGTAGGGACGAACGGGGAAGCAAGTCACACAGCAAGGTGGCATGCTTAAGATTCTTCCTGTAGGGGGTTGGGATGGTGACTCCTGGCTTCCTCAAGGTCATCCATACCTTTTTATAATATCAATCCCTGATGTTTATACTTGGGGTGTGGTTGCATTTGTTTTATCTTTTAAGGTCTGGCCCACAGCAGGAGGTGTGCGTGTCTCCTCCAAGGTCACAAGACATCTGGTCCTCTGTGCTGGCTCCCTTGAGGGCCAAGCCCTGTCTGACTGTCTATAATATTTCCACCTAACTCAGCTGCCTGTGACACTAAGAAGTACAGGAATAAACATCCCGGCTACCCCAGCCTTCCTAGGAGGCAGATTTTTTGTAAGTCCCTCATTTACAACAGAGAAAATAGAACAGAGAGAGATGAAATGATTTGCCCGAGGTGATTGGACACTGGACACAGACAGAACCCTGGGACTGGGAGACCACTGCCCTCCACTCACTTGAGTTGGGACAACATCCCGGGGCCACGCCTCCTTCCAGTGATACATGTCATTTAAGCAGTGTGAACTCTGGATCAAACATGCACAGTACTTGTTGAAAGCCCCAAACTCAGGATAACTTGGCACTCTGTTTATCGCGCCTGTCAGTCTCACCAGGAAACCCAGTGAGAGGCATTCAGGGTGAAGGGCGCCGCCCAGAAATCTGCAAGTCCGATTTTAGCCGTGTGTTTTTTGCTTTCCGTGTCGTCCTGGCACCGCTTTTCTGTTCATGCCATATTTCTGTTTTTACTGGGTACAGATCCACCTTTAGCATGATTTCCTGTCATTATCCATAAACGTAGCTGCTTTTCTGTCCCCACTGGGTGTAAGCTTGCATTCTCTGCTCACTGTACACGCGAGCGTGGATTTAACCCATGGTAGCAGAACCACTTGCTGTGGCTGCAGACAGGACTCGACCTTGGCCTCATTCTGTGCAGCCGCGTTTCCTCGGCACAGTGCTGCTCTCTAGTTAATGCGTTTGCTCCTCTTCTCATCTTACATTCAGAGCTATCGAGGCACTGTACATTTTATTTTAATTAGCCTGTGTATACTCTGTAGTTCCTCTGGGACTCTCGCTCAGTGTGTTTGTTGACTCTGCAATAATTAATTGTTATATCTTTGCTCAGGACTTTTTGTCCATCATCCCTGTGCCGTCATTTATCTTGAGTTGTGTCAAGGGCACAGTGGGTGTGCATGACACTCTCCTCACACTGCCCCGTGTGCATCATCAGCCAGGGACCAGGGTGGGGACTGGCGAGCTGCTGAAGGTCTCACTGCCTTAGGGGACGCACTAGAGCAGTTCCCGCTAACCTCAAGACAGACGACAAGCTTGAAAAATTGTTCCCTTGTCTTCATGGAATGACAGGGACAAGGGTAACACATGAGAGCTTGAAAGAGAAGACAAAATTTATTCAGTTTAAAGGCCTGCTTTTTATTCTGACATTACAGGTGTTTGACATTTTATAAGAATGACATTTTATAAGAATGGCTTTTCTGAAGTCTGGAAACCAGGGATTTAAAAGATTTACTGTGCATCCTGACTTCCAGAAATGTCCGTGTCATTGTGGCAAAAACGAGGGTGGCCGGCATTAAGTAGGGGTTGGAAGGTTGTGTCTCAGGAAACGGTGTTCAAGATCCTTCTTCCAATGCTAGAATCCAAAGTCCCCCCAGAATCAAAAACTGATTGCATTTGTTTTCGGACAGAATTCAAAGTGTTGCACTTAGGAGAGAGTGGCTTGGTGGGGGAGCAGTGACATGAGACCAGAAGGGAGCTCAGGGCTTGGTGTTTTCTGTTCCTCAGCAGAAAAGGGCAGAGGGAGGATCTTAGCGGAGGAAGAGGCAGGCTTTCCCTCTGACAGCCTAGAACTCTGGCTGAGAGGAATTCACTGCAGAGCCCAGAGACAGCCAAGCAAGCCCAGCCCAGCTCCCGGCAATGTGCCACTCTTTTTGGTTGCTGTTTAGCTCTTCTAAGCAATTTCTTAGAAGAGCAATTTCTTAGATTGAGCCTGCACGCCTGGGATGGGTTAGCCTAGTGGTCTAGCAAGGGTGTGCTGGAGATACCCATCGGAGGGGAGGAAGGCGGGGAAATAGCATCTCCTCCGTGTTCCACTCTTGAAAAGTCTATGAAGTTTTCTAGTACATTATTTAAAGAAAGTTTAAAGTGTCTGACAGAAATACAAGGTTAGAAAGTAAACATTAAGGATATAGGGAACAGAAAGGCAGAAAGGAAAAATCCCAGGAGAAAGACGGGGCTCACCATCTCTGAAACGTTTGGCGGGCACCTCTCTGTGTCCGGCCGTGTGTGGGCCTGGAGAAGGCCCACGTGGTTTATGAGTGCTGCGCCCACGTGGTTTATGAGTGCTGCTGTCATGTCCACTGCCAAGGTCGTCACTTTAATAAGACCGCCGGAAAGCACGCTTGAATCTGGTCGCAAGTCTCCTTTTTTCAGATCATTTCATAAACTGAGTCATAGAAAGATATTTTAATTCATTTGGTTGCCTTAAAAGCTAATAATGAACTGTGATTTTTATTGTGTAATTATACAAATGGTAATATTTTACCTTATTATGAAATTTAGATACTTAAACACAGCACATCAGTGTGTAACGTTGGACATCAGTGTTCTTTTTTTTCAGTTTTTAATTTTGATTAGTACATATTTGTCCTACGTAATGACTACATTACTTGTGAGGTGTTGGTACTCGTGCATAACATATATTAATTTTTAAAGAATCCTCTTACCTTCCTTTCCCTTCTCTCTCCCTCCATCTCCTGACCCCTTTCCTTTTTGAACAAAACCTACCTTCCTATTTCCTATTACCTTTATTTTGCTCTTTATTTATATTTTGAGTTTCTCATGTAAGATAAACCATGCGGTATTTAAGCTCGTGTGTCTGATTTATTTAACTTAACACCGTGGTCTCTTTTCCCTACAGAGGACTCGGGTTTATCCTCCTTTATGGCAGCATAGTACCCCACCGTGTAGAAACACCACATGTTCTTTATTCACTCATCTATTGAAGGACATCTAGGCCATTTCCATGCTTTGCTACATATTATGACCTGTGCTATTTAAAATACCCTGGGTATACATGTATCACTGTAGCGTGATGTCCTTAACTCACTTGGGAAGCTACCTAGAATGGGAACAGCTGAGTCAAACAGAATTCCTAGTTTTAGTTCTCTGGGGGAATCGCCATACGAATTTGCAAAGTGTTTGTACTAGATGCAGTACCATCAACAGTGCAGCAGGGCTCCTTTTCCTCCTCCACGCAGCTTCACCACCACTCATTGTTGGCTGACTTCTTGATACTAGCCGTTCTTTCTGGAGTGAGATAAACTCTCAGTGTTATTTCAGTTTGCAGCTCTCTGAAGGTCAGCGGTGTTGAAGATTTTCACGTATTTATTGGCTGTTGTACTTTTCCTGCGGGGTGTCTATTCATTTCAGTTTCTCGTCTTTTGATGAAGCCCGACAGTCTTCTAGACGCTGCCAGAGTTGAAAACTGCTTTCCTGAGTGGTGCAGAGGAAGGGAGAATGAACCTGGTCAGCACGCTGCTGTTAAGGACCCGTGACAAGTGGGGGAAGGTAAAGGATGACTGTTTTTAAGATACCTTGAGCAAAAAGTGGCTAGATTTTTTTCTTCCATGTTTTGAATTCTTTTGCTTTGTTTTGTTTATAAGAGGTAGGGTTAGCTGTGTAGCCCAGCTTGCCTTGAACACACTATGTATCCCAGGCTGCCCTCCTGCCTGGAATTCTCTTGCCTCAGCCTCCCAGGTGCTGGAATGACAATCATGTCCCACCGTGCTCAGCTCTCACCCAGTGGAATTCATAGCTACTGTATGAGCCAGAAACTATCATCCCCATTTTACTGGAACTGAGACTTGCTGGTACTGAGCATACTGACTAAAAACTAGTAGGTGGAGTTAAGATTTATATATAAAATATTTATTTCTACTTTACCTTTTAAGAAAAAGTAGTTTTAAAGTTTGAGCTGAAATTTGAATCCTGAGCTCATCAGCTATGGGCTTGTACTAGCTCACAACATTTCATTACAAAAGCAGAAAATGATTTGGTTCAGACATAATGGGAAGATTGTCTTGATTTTCTAAAATTGGTACTTGGGGGCCTTTATAAGAAATTCTCAGGAGCTCTCACTTATTAACTATGAGTAATAAGAGCTACTACAATAGAAATAAACTTTTTTGATGTTTTATTTTAAAGGGGTAAATACTACCATTTTATTTACTCACTATGGGGGTGATTTTGCCACCCAGGGAACACTGAGCCCTGCTGGAGGGAGGCACCGCAAGGCATAGGGGTTGCTATTGGCATCCAGTGGGTAGAAACCTGGGTGCTGCAGTGTACAGGAGGACCCCACAACAAAGCATTGTCTAGCCCAAAATGTCAGTAGGGCTGAGGTTGTGAAACTTTGGCGAAGAATTATTTGGTATGTGAAATGTTACTGAATAAAAAACCCAATAAATAACATTTTTAAATAGTCATGATGCTTGGAACTGTTTATCAGCATTGAAGTTCTAACTATAGCTCCCAAAGCACCATTAAAAGTGATTCTTGACCCCCAGCCATTGAACAGGAGCCGCAGTGACTGGTGAGAAATGGATCTGAGGCAGATGCCCGCTCCCTCCATTGCTGTGACTCAGGGACTAGAGAGCAGCAGCACAGCCATAGACACAGGAGAGAGAGAACCCCAGCCAGAGCACACACCATGGACAGGCAGGGCTGGTGGTGCAGGAAAATCCAAAGTAATGTAAAAATATGAGCCAGCAGGTGAGGTGTGGAAACTGACCAGAGACAGTAGCCAGTGTGGGCTGGAAGAAGAAGCAGCCAACCTTTCCCCTGTGAGCCCACTGCTGCCCTCACAGGCCTGAAGCCAACCACACCTCAGAGAAACCACACATCTGGAGAAGCTTGCCCCATCCCCACCACTTCCCTGGAAAGCTAGGTTAGAAGAAACCCAGGTGCCTAACCCATTTCCCTACACCACGGAGAGGTAGTCAGTGCAGGAAGCACCTGAGACCCCACGTCTGGCTTGTGCAGAGGAAACCAGGAAATGTCAAGATGAAAGGCAATGGGGGCTGGGGATTTAGCTCAGCGGCATAAGTGCCTGCCTTGCAAGCAGGCAGTCGTGAGTTCGATCCCCAGTACTGGTAAAAATGAAAAAGACAAAAAAAAAAAAAAAGATGAAAGGCAAAGGTAATTGCTGGCCTCCAGCCCACACAGAACAAGTCCAGGAGACAGACATGGAATAAATTGGAAGTCACACACCTGAAATTTCTGGGATGATGGCAACTGAAGTAAAGAAACTACTTCATGAGGCTGTAAAAGAAATCAGATCAGAAATAATAACTCAGGTAAAAGAAGAAATGACAAATATAATAAAATGCTGAGTATATCTAAAGAAGATATAGATTAAGAAAAAAAATGCTTGGGAAAATGAGAGAAACCTTGAATTAGCAATATAAGGAAGAATTGGAATGCAAGAAACAGATTCAAAGAGACATCCAGGAAATTAAAAACTCCATTGAAAGCTGGCAAAACTGCTTGATAGAAACTTGAAAGAATCTTGCCCTAGGCTGGACACTGCAGCCAGTAAAGCCTTGGTAAAGCCTTGGAGGCAGAACCAAGGAGCTCCATCTTCCCCGCCCCTAGGAATTTACCTGTGGCTCCATCTTCCCCTCCCTTAGGAATTTACTTGTGGCGTGAAATGAATACCAATGGGCTACCTATGCATCCCTAATGCGCCCTCAGGCCCCACCCCAAACCTACGCTACATGTATGCCCCCACTCCACGTGTCCGATAGAGAGATTGCCAGACATTGCCAGACCCCAGAGAGATTGCCAGATCCTGGGGACTATGCCGGACCCTGGAGGGTCGGGGGATCTCTCCCTGCATTCTTAAAATAAAGGTCATTTATATTTCATACTTCTTATCTTTTCAGCCGTGCCATAATTCTATCAAAACTTAAGATAGACTTTCAGATTGTAAACACAGAATTACAGCTAGTGATAGCAAAAGGTAAGATCTCTTAAAAATAACAAGGAACAAGGAAGTAACAATTCAATGGCTACGACATGAGTAAAGAAAAATAATTTAAGAATGATAGGTGTCGGTGAAAAAGCAACACTCAACACAAATGACATAAAAAGATTATTTATAGAGGTACTAGGAAAAAACTTCCCAAGCATGGAAAAATGGTCTTACACACAAATAACTGAGGCATATTGAACTCCAACTAGTCCTAATCAAAATACACCAAGACATATAATCAAGATCCCAGAAATTCAACACAAGCACAGAATATTAAAAGCTGTTAGACAAAAGAAACAGATCACTTATGTAGTGGTTGATTGCTTGTGTCAATCTGAGACAGTTAGAAGCTAACTAAATGGGTTTAGCAATTCTACACCCCAAAATGTAGAAGAAGACCCACCTAGGGTGGGTCATCACCTCGAGGTATAAAAGGGGAAGAGGAAGGCTGAATCCATTCCATTCTTGGGAGAAGCTCCAGTCTTTGGCTTTGGTTTGGAGTCATCTTCTGGCTTCCAGTATAGACTCTTCAGCTTTCCAGTGTAGACACTGCAGCCTTTCATCACAGAGCTTTCAGCCTTCTGTCGCAGATGCATCAGCCTTCTGGTGTGGACTTGCACAAGACACTAGGGTGAACTCCAGGCCTTGGATTGAATCCTTCGGCCTACAGTGCATAGACACCCTCTGCATGCTTCCTCATCGGACTCTGGTACTGACTATCCATAAGCCAATCTTGTTGTTTCTGTATATCCCGGGTTATATCTGTTCTCTCTGGTAAAACCCTGAGCAATACAGATTTGGTACCAGGAGTGGTCCTAGTGAAACAGAATCATAACAATGGCATTCTTTAATGGTGTTAGAGCTTCCTGGAGTTGGCTCTTCAATTTGGTGAGACCTGAAGACACCAAGTTCTCTGCTTCTACTTCTGTAGAACATACTGATAATCCTTGGCATAAACTGTTTAAACTAATACGTCTCATGGATCCATTTGATTATCCTAATTCATCAATTGTGAGATGTCAGAAATTTAGTGACTCTGTACAAAACAACTTTGAAGATCTTTGGCACAGTAGACAATATATTGATGCTGGATGGCTGGTCTTAGCCTCTTTGGACAAACTCCCATCTCCAGAAACAGATAAGAAATTTAAAAGTTTCTCAGTGTGTCATGAGTGAAAATTTCCTCTTTTTAGGTGCAAAGCTGAGATTGCAGAAACCCAGACACAGTCCCTCATAATTCGATTGGCTGAACTACAAGGTAAATTTAATGCTCAGCCTCGAAGCATATCAGGAGCAAAGGTGAGGGCACTGGCTGGGAAAGAATGGAATGCCATAAATTGGGATGGAGATGTATGGGAGGACTCTGAGAAAACTGAAGATCCAGAATTTCTGGATGCTAATGAAGTTATTTTGCCTGAGGGAGAGATTTCCCCACCTGAAGTGGCAGAGGCGTCACCCCCTCCACCCCCTGCTGTGTGGAGTCTCCTAGCATACTTGGGGAAGCTAATGCTATGTTGACTAAACGGGATTATGCTGCTGCTCCTCAGGACACACGACTCACCCTTAACACTCGTTTTTGGCCTCCAGGCCCATAACCAGGCTCAAATCACAGAAAGCGCCTATAGGTGAGATACATAGTGTGACCCATGAAGAGGTTCGCTATACTCCCAAAGAGCTTCTTGAGTTTTCCAACTCTTATAGGCAGAGGCCTGATGAGCAAGCATGGGATTGGATTTTACAAGTGTGGGATAATGGTGGCAAAAATATATATCTGGATCAGGCTGAATTTGTTGATATAGGCCCATTAAGTAGGGATTCTGAATTTAATGTCATAGCTCGTGGAATGAAGAAAGGTGCTAATAGTTTATTTGGATGGTTGGCAGAGATATGGATCAAAAGATGGCCCACTGTGAATGAGTTAGAGATGCCTGATATTCCATGGTTTACTATTGATGAGGGGATTCAGAGGCTCAGGGAAATGGGAATGCTGGAGTAGATCTGTCAAGTTAAACCTAATCCTCCACATTAGGATGATTCAGAAAACATACCTTCACCAGCACCTTGGGAAACAGATTTGTGAGGGGAGCACCAGCATCCCTGAAGGGCCCTGCTATTGCTCTTTGCATGCCAGACCTTACAGTGGGGACTGCAGTTACTCAATTAGGACATTTAAGGGCAATGGGCTTGATTGAGTCCTGGAGTGGCAGAGGTCAAGTGGCGGCACTTAATCGCCAAAAGTAATGGACAGCAAAGGCGGAACAATGACCAGAATAATCTAACATGTGCAGACCTCTGGTGTTGGCTGATTAGCCATGGCGTTCCTAGAAGTGAAATAGACAGGAAGCCTACAAAATTTTTACTAGATTTATATAATAAAAAAAATTACGGGCAAATGAACAGAACTTTACATCAAATCATGGCAACAGGGAATCATGGCCCCTCAACCAGTTCCCAGATCTGAGCCAGTTTACAGACCCAGAACCCCTTGAATGATGGGGAGGCCTGGTCCCCTTGGAGAAGGACTCTGATGCACCAAAAATTTACAATGTAAATCTTTCTCCCATCCTTCCCCAGAGGGACCTAAGGCCTTTTGCCCGAGTGACTGTCCACTGGGGGAAGGGGATTACTGGACATTGGTTCTGAACTAACACCGATTCCAGGGGATCCAAAACGTCACTGTGGCCCTCCAGTAAGAGTAGGGGCCTATGGAGGTTTAGCAAAGGTCCGACTTACAGTGGGTCCAATAGGTCCTCGGATTCACCCTGTAGTTATTTCCCCTGTTCCAGAATGTATAATTGGGATTGATGTACTTAGTACCTGGCAGAATCCTCACATTGGTTCCCTAACCTGTAATATGAGGGCTATCATGGTTGAGAAGGCCAAATGGAAGCCACTAAAGTTGCCTTTGCCTGGTAAAATAGTAAACCAGAAGCAGTATCGCATTCCTGGAGGGATCCAAGAGGTTACTGCCACCATCAAGGACTTAAAGGATGCAGAGGTGTTGTGCCCACCATATCTCCATTTAACTCTCCCACTTGGCCTGTGCAGAAGACAGATGGGTCTTGGAGAATGACTGTGGATTACCGTAAACTGAATCAAGTGGTGACTCCAATCGCAGCTGCAGGACCAGACGTGGCTTCCTTGCTTGAGCTGATTAACACATCTCCTGGTACCTGGTATGCAGCTATCGATTTGGCAAATGCCTTTTTCTCCATACCTATCCATAAGGATCATCAGAAACAATTTGCTTTTAGCTGGCAAGGCCAGCAATATACCTTCACAGTCTTACCTCAGGGGTATATTAACTCGATAGCCCTATGTCATAATTTGGCTCGAAGGGTTCTTGATCCCTTTTCTCTGCCACAGGATATCACACTGGTCTATTACATTGATGATGTTATGCTGATTGGGCCTAGTGAGCAGGAGGTAGCAACTGCACTGGATTCCTTAGTAAGGCATTTGAGAGCCAGAGGATGGGAAATAAATCCAACAAAAATTCAAGGTCCCTCTACTTCAGTGAAATTTCTAGGAGTCCAGTGGTATGGAGCATGTAGAGATATCCCTTCTAAGGTAAAAGATAAATTGTTGCATCTGGCTTCTCCTACAACTAAAAAGGAGGCACAACGCTTAGTGGGCCTATTTGGATTTTGGAGGCAACACATTCCTCATTTAGGTGTCTTAACCTGTAATATGGTTACTGCCACCATCAAGGACTTAAAGGATGCAGAGGTGTCCCATTTACCGAGTGACTCGGAAAGCTGCTCATTTTGAGTGGGGCTCAGAACAGGAAAAGGCTTTGCAACAAGTCAAGGCTGCTGTGGGTCTGCTCTTCCACTGGGGCCGTATGATCCAACAGATCGAGGTGTCAGTAACAAACAAAGATGCTGTTTGGAGTCTCTGGCAGGCCCCCATTGGTGAATTACAGCGGAGGCCTTTAGGATTTTGGAGTAAGGCTCTGCCATCGTCTGCAGACAACTACTCTCCCTTTGAGAAACAGCTGTTGGCCTGCTACTGGGCCCTAGTGGAAACTGAACGCTTGACTATGGGACACCAGGTCACCATGCGACCTGAGTTGCCTATCATGGCCTGGATATTATCTGACCCACCAAGTCATAAAGTTGGACATGCCCAGCAACAGTCTATCATTAAATAGAAGTGGTATATTCGTGATTGAGCCAGAGCAGGCCCAGAAGGTACAGTAAATTACATGAGGAAGTTGCCCAAATACCCATGGCTCCTATACCTGCTATGTTGCCTTCAGTTCTCCAGCATGCACCTATAGCCTTGTGGGGTGTTCCATATGATCAGTTATCAGAGGACGAGAAGACTAGGGCCTGGTTTACGGATGGCTCTGCACGTTATGCTGGCACCACCCGCAAGTGGACAGCTGCAGCATTACAGCCCCTTTCTGGGACATCCTTAAAAGACAGTGGTGAAGGGAAATCCTCACAGTGGGCAGAACTTCGAGCAGTGCACTTGGTAGTACATTTTGGCTGGAAAAAGAAATGGCCAGATGTGAGATTGTATACTGATTCATGGGCTGTAGCCAATGGTCTAGCTGGATGGTCAGGAACTTGGAAGGAACATAATTGGAAAACTGGTGACAAAGATATTTGGGGAAGAGGTATGTGGATAGACCTCTCTATATGGGCAAAGGATATGAAAATATTTGTTTCCCATGTAAATGCTCACCAAAAGGTAACATCAGCAGAAGACAACTTTACTAATCAAGTGGATAAAATGACTCGTTCTCTGGACAGTAGCCAACCTCCTTCTTGAGCCACCCCAGTCATTGCCCAATGGGCCCATGAACAGAGTGGCCATGGTGGCAGGGATGGAGGGTATGCATGGGTTCAGCAACATGGACTGCCACTGACCAAGGCTGATCTGGCTACAGTCACTGCTGAATGCCCACTATGCCAGCAGCAGAGGCCAACACTGAGTCCCCGATATGGCAGCATTCCCCGAGGTGATCAACCTGCAACTTGGTGGCAGGTTGATTATGTTGGACCACTTCCATCATGGAAGGGACTGCGCTTTGTCATCACTGGCATAGATACCTATTCTGGATATGGCTTTGCCTTTGCTGCACGTAATGCTTCTGCGAAGACTACCATCCGTGGGCTCACGGAATGCCTTATCCGTCATGGAATTCCACATAGCATTGCCTCTGACCAAGGGACACATTTCACAGCTAAAGAAGTGAGACAGGGGGCATATGCTCATGGAATTCACTGGTCCTACCATGTCCCTCAGCATCCAGAAGCAGTTGGATTGATAGAAAGATGGAATGGCCTTTTGAAGACACAATTACAACACCAGCTAGGTGGCAATAGTTTGCAAGGCTGGGGTAAAGTACTTCAACAGGCTGTGTATGCTTTGAATCAACGTCCATTATATGGCACTGTGTCTCCCATAGCCAGGATTCATGGATCCTGGAATTAAGGGGTGGAAGTAGGAATGGTGCCACTCACCATCACCCCTAGTGATCCACTAGCAAAATTCTTGCTTCCTGTCCCCACGACTTCATGTTCTGCTGGCCTAGAAGTTTTGGTTCCAGAGCGGGGAAGGCTTATACCAGGAAACACGACAATGGTACCATTGAACTGGAAGCTAAGACTTCCCCCTGGTCATTTTGGTCTCCTCATGCCTCGGAGGAAACAAGCTAAAAGGGAGTCACAGTGTTGTCAGGGGTGAGTGATCCACACTATGAAGGGGAAGTTGGACTACTACTCCTCAATGGAGGAAAGGAAGAATATACACGGAGTGCAGGAGATTCCTTAGGGTGCCTTTTAGTACTACTACGCCCTGTCATTGAGGTCAATGGAAAATTACAGCAACCTAATCCAGACGAAGTGACAGTGGTCCAGAACCTTCAGGGATAAAGGTATGGGTCACTCCACCGGGGAAAGAACAGAGACCTGCTGAGGTGCTTGCTGAAGGCCAAGGGAATACAGAATGGGCAGTGGAAGAAGGAAGTTCTAAATACCAGCTACGACCCCATGATCAGTTACAGAAAAGAGGATTATGATTACTATTTCTCCCCACATACGGTTCTAATGTAACATAATGTTAGACGTAATGCTGTGTTTTGGGAAGTGTTAAACTTGTGTTATAATGTTAAGCTTATGAACTGATAAGGAGTAAGCATCAACCAAAGAAAAGTTACATTGTGTATTTTGGTAGGAGAACTGTTGTGTTTCTGTTTGTACAAGGGCAGTTATAACATGTTAGGTGCGATTATATGCATGTTTGTTTATCTGGAACTAAGAAATGTGTCTGGTTGCCAAGCTGACAAGGGGTGGATTGTAGTGGTTGATTGATTGTGTCAACTTGAGACAGTTAGAAGCTAACTAAATGGGTTTAGCAATTCTATACCCAAGGATGGAGAAGAAGACTCACCCTAGGGTGGGTCATCACCTGAGGTATAAAAGGGGAGGAGGAAGGCCGAATCCATTCCATTCTTGGGAGAAGCTCCAGTCTTTGCCTTTGGTTTGGACCTCGCCTCCTGGCTTTCAGTACAGACTCTTCAGCTTCCCAGTGTAGACTCTTCAGCTTTTCATCACAGAGCCTTCGGCCTTCTGTCTCAGACCCATCAGCCTGCTGGTGTGGACTTGCACAAGACACTAGGGTGAACTCCAGACCTTGGAGTGAATCCTTCGGCCTCCAGTGCATAGATACCCTCTGCACGCTTCCTCATCGGACTCTGTGACTGACTATCGTAAGCCAATCTTGTTGTTTCTGTATATCCTGGGTTATATCTGTTCTCTCTAGTAAAATCCTGACCAATACAGCCTATAAAGGAAAACCCATCAGAATCATGGCAGACTTCTTGACATAAATGATCAAGTCAAGGAGAGTTTGGAGTGAAGTATTTCAAGTCCTGAAGGAAAACAACTTCCAACCCAGATTGATGTACCCTGAAAAACTTTCAAAATTAATGGAGAAATAAGATACTCCTATGACAAAAAACAACTGAAGGAATCCATGACCACCAAACCAACCTACAAAGAATACTGAAGGACATTCTAGAGAGAGATAAAAATGACCACGGGTCCAGGAACAGCAGCAGAGGGGGATTGCCAAGTGTGGCAGGCAGTTGAACAGAGAGGAAAAGTCGGGAGCCAACCACAAGAAAATGGCAAGCCAGAGACGAGCCAGTGCATGCTGGCCGTAACCATTAGTGTAGGTGGCCTCAAGTCACTAATAAGAAATACAGGCAGAGTGGATCAGGAGACAAGATTCATCAATATGCTTTATACAAAAAATACATTTAACACAAAAGGACATTCATAGACTGAAACTCAGAGAGAAACAATGCTCCATATGATAGGGAAGCAGAAAAAAGCAGGGGTAGCCTGCCATCAACCGCAGAACGGATAGGAAAGATATGGCATGTTTATATGGAAAGCTACTCAGCTATAAAGAAGGATAGTCACGAGGCTTTCCTAGGTAAATGGATGCAACTTGAGATCATGCTTATGGGTGAAATGGTTTGGATTCACACGATGAACATTGTGTTGTCTCCCTAGTGTAAAAAGCTGAAGAAGTTAGTGGGATCCAAAATGTACACTAGGTATTGTGAAAGTGAGGGGGGTGGGGGAAATGCCTAAAAAGGGAAAGTGGTAGCCATTGTTGATTTCGCATTGTCTTTTTTGGAGGCCTGTATTGCATTCACTGTTTTATTTTGATTGACTCTATTCTGTTTTATTTGGTTTCGTTTTTTCACTTTAAAATTTTAAAAAAAGTGGTTTTGTTGTTGTTTGGTACTGGGAGTCATACTCAGGGCCTTGGGCTTGCCAGGCTGTGCCACAGAACACAAGTGATTTCTTACCTTTGCTGGAAAACTTCACAGCATTGAGACCATTTGAGCAGCATCAGAAGGGAATATCAGAGTCCATGCAGTGCGGAGGAAGATATGTGAGGGGCAAGAAAGATGGCTCACTTGGATGGCGGGTAACAGCCACATCTGGGAAGCTGGAAGGAAACACTTGTACCCCTGCCTCTCCATCTGCCACCTATGTAACCTCCAACCAATGCCACGAACTGCCATCTCCTCATCCATAAAAGAGTGGTACCATGTGTCCCATCAAGTTGTTGGGAGCTTTTGAGGAGAAGATACAGGCAAAATACGATGCCTTGTCCAGAGAAAGCGCTCAATGCCTGCTTTGTTTTCCGTACTATTATTGCTGGAAGCAGGCCACTGAGGCAGTGCCCCAGAGCTGCCCACGCCTCCTCCAGAGAGGAACTCCATCTGCCAGGCCTTGTCCCTCCTTGAGCAACGCAAGGTGAGTCAGGGCTCCACGTGCTTCAGCTGGGCATCAGAATGTGGCCTGCCCGGCTGGCAATAAATCTTCCACCCAGCTGGGCTAGCTAAGGGGAAGTGGGAAGGGAGGACAACGAGTTCCATTTGCTTGTGAAACTTGTAACTGAAGGCCCTTCCCTCAGTCTGCAGAGCAGGAGCAGGGTGGGGACCTGGTGCCTGAAGACTCCACTGCAGAATGAAGAATGGGAGGAGGCCGTGGCTCCTTGCAGGCTCCAGAAGTCTTTGGGTCCACCCCCCTTTCCCAGGCAGGACATGAGCTCTTCCATCCCCAGAACCTTTTGATGAGGTGACAGGTGGGTTTGGCCCGTGGAGAGGCAAGCAAGGCAGAGGAAAGGGCGCCCTTGCTCAGGATGCGCCCAGTTTGCCTGTGACTGAGGTCATCCTGGCTCTCACCTCTGCTGCCGTGGGGTCTACATGGATGTCCTGTCTCTCCTTTTGTACTCTACATCTCTGCTGCCCTCCCTTTTGTTTTCTAAACATGAAACGACTCCAACTCTCTGTCCTTTGGTTTTCCCTGTCCAGTGCAACTGTCTTCCAGCTTAGGAGCTCTGGAGAAAAATGTGCAGGGGAGGGCTGTGCCCCGAGGCACCCTGTGTGGGGACTTTCAGCTGTGTCCAGCTGTCCTCTTTTCTGGCTATCTCTGAGTGTTCCCTTCGTTCTCTAGATTCCTAGTGCTGACCTGACCTTGACGTGTCTCATGCCTCTGGCTCTCGTCTCTTCTGGTTGTCTGTTTTCTGGGTTTCAGCTGCAAAGACAGGTTGTGGGAAGGTGAATGGGAGTGGGACAGGGCCCTCCCAGAAGAGACCAAGACACATGTCAGTCTTGTCTGTATTCATGTATCTTCTCACACCCCCTGGATATTCCCTGTCTGGACCTACACCACGAATTCCTAGAAATTTGTTCCTAAGACAGTGGTATCGTCTTGCTCAGCAATCAGAGTTGAAGGTGGGAACGGGGGCCAGCTCAGGCCCAGCGTCTAGATCTGGGCCCTGTTTAGAGCCAGTAAGGCCAAGGCCACAAGTCCGTAGGCTTCACCTCCTCACCCTCCTTGCTCGATCTGCTGCCTTTCATTTCTAGACTCCTCACACAGACCTGGGTTCCCTCAATGGGACCCTGACATTTCATCCTCATCTCCATTTGTCTCATGTTTTCTGAGTTGTTCTTGAAGGAGCTTGGGTGTGAGAGTTGCTTTCAAATCATTTCTGTTTGATCTTCCAGCATGTGACCTGCTGAGTCTTAGTATTTTTTTTTTTTCATTTGCAATGTCTGCCTTCCATCCCTGCTGTGAGAATTAATCAATTCCAGGATTCTTTTTCTTGAGGGCGTAGTTGGATACTGTAATATGTCTTGAGGGGAAGAAAGACACAAAGACCAGTAGCTGATCCTTCCTTTGAAATACCTTTTGGTTCGGTTTTGGAAGGTAGTCTATCAGCGGATAATTGCAAAACAGTGGGTAACTGCTAAGGTAGAGAGGAGCAGAGGATGCCTTAGGAGCACAGAGGAAGGCAGCAGTGCAGGAGCAAAGGGCAGACGAGGTGTTCTGAAGGATGGGGGAGGCTGGGTGTGGATGTTTCTGGAGGAGAGAAGTACAGAGGTGTGAAACGGCAACTGACTAACAGGCGATAAATATTCAAGCCAGAGTGACAGGTGCTCGTGCTGGCCAATGAACAGGGGCCAGTCATGGGAGGCCTAGCAGGTCATGCCGAGAAGTCTGAACCTTGCTCATAGGCAAGAAGGAGAGTTACACGGCAAGATCTGAATTTAGACAGATTACTTTCGCAGCTAGATTGGGGAATGGATGCGAGCATGGAAAAATCTGGAACCAGGAGTCCAATTAGGAGGTCGTGATAATATTGATGTTCCGATAAGTGATAACACAGGACAGTTGGCAGGTACAGGAGAAATTTAAAAAGCAAAGGCAAGGAAGAGCAGACCTCAGAAGTAGACTGCTGGAGGAAGGGTGGAGCCCAGGATGGCTCCAGGTGCCCTGCTTGCCTAGGCAGGTGCCTGGTGGTGCTTTTGACTAAGGCGGAGATCACAGGAGCAGCAGGGCTGGGCCAGGGTGGAGATGATGAGGTAGCTCTCTGACAGGCCTAGTTTGAGGCACTGTGGCAAGGCCCACATGGAAATGTCCAGCATGCAGTTGTCTATGCAAATCCCACTTTCGGGAAGAACTTCCAGGCTGGGGGTATAGATTTGGTAGTTGTCCGAATGTAGGAGTCAGTGAAAACTTGATCAAGGGATGCTGCTGTACAAAGACATTATGAAGGATGCGGAAAGCAATGGCAGAAGGACTGAGACACAGGGAAGCAATGGGGAGCTGGAGGCTGGAGGAGGCGTCCAAGGCGGGGGCCCACAGTGTAAGCGTGTCAGTCACCAGAGGTGAATGGCCTCAAGGCAGAACGAGCAACAGGGCCAAACGCAATAGGCTCCATAATACAGAAAATTAGCCCCTGGATCTGGTGGGGGGAAGAGTGAGTTCTGACAGAGGGGTGGGAAGCTCAGAGACTACAACAGGTTGAATTAGGAAGTCAAACCAGTGGGGAGAGAGCACACGTTTTAGTACAGAAAGAAGGTGATGGGTAAAAAGGGGCTGTGGAGGCCCAGAGAAATGGAACTCTCATTTATTTTAGTTTTGTGTGTATGTTTCTGAGTCAGAGTCTCTCTGTGTAATTCAGGCTGGCCTTGAACTCACTACGTAGCCCAAGCTTCAAGCTCACCCATCCTCCTGCCTCAGCCTCTCGAGGGCGAGGATGCCGGAGCCCACAACCCTGACTGTGTCTGCTAAGGGCCTTCCACGCACTGCCTTGCTAACCCTGATCTAACTCTTTCCTCATACAAAGACTCCTCAGAAGTGAGGGTGGGGCGGCAAGAAAGGGGTGAGGATGGAAACCTTTATTACCTTATTAATAACTTATTATCAGTTAGCTCTAGATTTATCAACGGAGCTTTGGTTCACGAACTCAATTCTTTGCATCATTCTGGCCACAAACCAAATTGGACGAGAACCAGATCCAATTCAGTGGTTAGGGTCCATGCTGGTCTTACAGGGAAGTTTGGTTCGGTTGCTGTCTAATTCAGTTTGAGACCAGAATCATGGGGAGAATTAAGCTTGTGGACTGAGATGCCACTCTGCTTAAGCCAGGTTCAAATCCTTGTGGTCCGGCCTGGCCTGCCTCGCTCCCGGCATCATCTGCAGCCCTCTTGGAATCGCAGACTGTAGTCGGCTCAGCAGAGTTAACTGAGCAAGTGTTTACTTGGCTGTGCTGGGAGGTAAGATGACATGGCTCAGTGAGCAGTCTGTGGGGGAGTCAGGGGATGTCGCTGGTGTGAGAAACGCCTGAGAGCAGGAGAGAAGGAGGCCCTGCGGGCTGTTCAGCTGCGCAGAGGACTGAGCTGGCTGTTTCCCTTTCCCCACAGACAACAAGCGGAAAGGAAAAACAGCAGCAGCTGCCAGTGAGCTGAACCTGGCGGCTCGAGTGTGAGCTCTCAGGAGGCTCAGGAGGCGTGGCTGATGCTGACCCTGTGGCCTGCGTCCTGGGAAGGCGGCAAAGCGACCTGAACACCAGTGAATGAGCACAAAGAATAAAAACCAAAGTCTGAACCCTTGAGTTGCTAACAGGATTATTCAGCCGCCTGTACGAACTGTCAGATGAAACTCCTCTGACCCTGAAAGGGGAAGGCGGTGGGTTAGGCTGAAAACTAATGGCAGTGTTTGTAATGTGTATGAACCGGCTTTATCACCTTGTGTCCAAATAGCTGGCCCGTCTTTCCGTGTTTCTGGGGGCCTAAGGCAGGTAGAGAACCAGGCACCGTCCCCTAATTTACATTGCTGAAGAAGTAGGTGCAGATTGTGAAATCATTCCCTGAGAGGTGGGTGAGCTCCCATCCCTGCCCCACAACGCCCAGGGGACCTGGGGGCAGAGGCAGGGGAGGAGAAACAGTGCAAAACACCTTCTCCTATTGTGCTTTTCCATCTCCCCAACTAGATTTGAAGTCGGTAGGGGATCAATTCTGCGCCCTTTTTTTGTAGCCACTGTGGTGCCTTCATGGAGTAGGTGGTCAGCCCGGTGTTTGTTTGCTGTATTCATGTAAATGCTTGTGTATGTGAGGTACCTGGTAGTTGCTAAGTGAATAAACTTAATATGGCCTTTTTCGGACCTCATTCTTTTATTTCTTCATTTTTCTGATTGTCTAAGTGCTTATTAAAATAAATTATCAAATGGTTGATGATTTTACAGAAAAGTTCTACTTCATTAACAATCAAAATGTTTCACTTGTAGCAGAGGTTAATACAATAAAATCATTGCTAGTGTTAATAGTTGCACAAATGGGGCGTTTATAAATTATTAAAGAAGAATAGCTTTTTGATTTTATGCTAGGGCAGCTTGACAGTATTTAATAGATTTAAGGATGCATGTCCTTAGGCCAAAATGTTGGATGGCTGTGAATTTTCTCTATGGGAATAATCAGTGCTGAAAGGAAAAACCTCATCTGGAGGAAGACATCACGGTGTTATCCGTGATAATGAAAACTGAGAGCGTCTTAAGAAGAGACTATGTGATCAGTATCTTCAGGCTACTTCTGATGACGTAATAGGAAAGCATTTTTAAAAATGAGAGCTAGCTGTGGTGGTGCATGCCTGTAATGCCAGCGCTTGGGAGGCCAAAGCAGGAGGTTCACTGTGATTTGAGGACACCCTGGACTATGTGGTGAGACCCTACCTCAAGAAAAAAAAATCAAATCTGTATTTTAAAATCTCCTAATAGCAGAGGCTACCTGCGGAGGCAGGAACTGCTTTTAGTAAGTTTCCTTATTGATCTTAGTAAAGCTCAATGAGACCTTTATACTAGCTTTTTCCCTACCCAGGGGACCCCTGTTCCCTACAGTATTATTACCTGCTCCCAATACCTCCTTTACAGATTCATGTGTGTTAGAATTATAAGGTGATTATAATTAGGGACCGACTGTTTAGCTTCATTTTACAGCTGGGAACAGGTGCTGAGAGACTGTTTAAAGTACTACAGCAGTAGCACATCTCACAGTTTTTGGGCCGTGTTTTTTCCAGTGACATTGGTCTAGCTGGAGGACAGGGCACTTGAGAAGACAGCAGCTTCGGCCCAGCAGTTCCCACAATGACTCGAGTCAGCAGTAGACTCCTTCTGCCTCTCCCAGGAAGCCACTTCTGTCTCCTTTCCCCTCCCCAGGCTGTGGAGTGCGTCAGACAGAATCCAGTGCTGCAATCCATGACTTGTTCCAGTTTGAACAAAGTCCATATATACATATATACATATGTATTTTAATTCATTACACGGAGACAGCAGTATCGGGGAACCCTTTGCATAGTGTCCAGTCCAGCCCTCTCTGCGGGCCAGACCCATCCTTCCCCCTGCAGGCGGATGTCCCGCAGCACAGCCAACTCCTGTGTCTGAAAGGCAGCTATTGTCTGCTCTGGCAAACCCATTTCTCTTCCTGTATTTGTAGTTGCAGCAGAATGCAGGAGGCCATCTCCACCCTCCTCGGTCCAGCCTCTTATGGACGAGTTACGAAGTTCTAGAGGTGCAGCTTTCATGAACCATTCTAGTTTCCTCCATCTCCCCCCTGTCTCTTGCTGTCTGGCTGTAGCACTCGACCCTTCTGCTCAGTCTGCAGTCTGAATCTCAGCAGGAGTCTCTGCCTCTAGCGTCCTCTGTCTCCCACCCCAGACTTTGAGAGTTCTGGAGTGCAAAGCTGACACCACAGGCCCAGTGTAGGGAATCCTCTGGGGCTTCTTGTTGCCTACGAGATAAAATCCAGACTCAGGAACAGGCCCTACAGTTCCCTCCATGAGTTAACGCTTGCCAGCCTCTTCTGTCTGCAGAGATTATGTGCTGAGCCCATCCTTCAGGTCTCACCTAAGGCATCCCCTTCCCTTCCCTCTTATCGAATGAGGCAGGTGTTCAAGCATTAGAGAGTACAGCGTGCCTGTTCAGGGAATACACCTTATCCAGCATGAAGGGCAATTACCTTGGCTTCTTTTTGAGAGTCCCTCTAGAAATAGAGAAAATGTGCTGAGCATGGTGGAACACTTCTGTAATCCCAGCACTCAGGAGGCTGAGGCAGGAGACTTGCTGGTACCTTGTGAGTTCAAGGCCAGTCTGGACTACTGAGTGGGATTCCATCAAAAAAAAAAAAAAAAAAAAATCAAGCCATGCCAAACCAAACCAAAAAATAGAGAAATTAGAGTCACATTCTGGGGACAGAATTTAAAAAGTGAAATGGGGTATTTCTGATATGGGCATAGGGCATGGCAAAGCTGGCTGGGGAAATGAGCGGAACCTGTCCATCACAAGATCCCAGGGGATGCCAGGACCCCGTGTGCAGAGCTTCTGGAGAGCTCACAAGAGACGTGGGAGTCATAACAGAAGACCAGAGGCCTCAGGACAGACCACCCGCACTGCCCAGACGAGGCCTGTGCTTTGAGTTCTGCATTTACCTTCTTTTTTTCTCTGGTTCTGCCCAACTTTGCTCTTCAGGAATGGTTTCTCCCATACCCATTTATCCCGCAACCTACCTTTCTTTCTTTTCTTTCTTTCTTTCTTTCTTTCCTTCTTTCTTTCTTTCTTTCTTTCTTTCTTTCTTTCTTTCTTTCTTTCTTTCTTCTTTCTCTCTTTCAAGAGAAAAAAGAAAAAACAGAAAACTTAATAGGCTAACAAATTTAAAAAAAAAAGAAGCAAAATAACAACAACAATAAAAAAACACCGAACAATAGCTATATAGGTTTTCAAAACAATGTAACAATGGTTGCTATATTGCACAATGTTATCTTCAAAATAGTTGCTCAGATACAGAATAAACCAAGACAGTAAAATGGAACAAAACTTTGGATTTCAAAAACAAGACAGAAGGAAATCTCCCACAGCTGATAAAAGCATATTGTTATCCTCCAAATAGATGCTCAGACCAGCTTTAGGCCTGCAAAGTAAATCAAACAATGCAAGCATTTATTGTGTTGGCTTGTTTTTTACTTCAGTTACCACCATCTCAGCCTGACTTGCTCGGGATCGGCCCCCTGCCTACAGGGGGATGGGGTGCTCTTCTTGTCTCCCACCCTGCGCACCAGCTGACTCACAGGAAGGTTTGGCTTCTTGATTCTTTTTCCGTTTGCCATGGCGGCTGCCCTGGCTCATGGGAAGGTGTCCGCCTCATACTTTTCAAAACTTCTGGGCATCCTTTTCCTGCTTGTCTTACCCAATTGTTTGTCTGAGGCAAGAAGAACCTGGCAAACTTTTGACTGGCAAACCATTTCTAAGTGAACTAGCCAATAACATTTCCACAGTCACTGAGCTGACTCTGAGGAAGAGGGTGGCTCTCGTTCTGGGAGCCAGGCTCTGCTTGGATTGGTGAAAGGCCCTGAGTGTGACAGGACCTCATGTGTTTGTTTCCTCCACAGCTGATGTTTGCTTTAAATGCTCTGTGGGAGAGATGTGTGGCCAGTCTCCTAGTGAGAGGCCGGAGGTGGAGCAAGGCTCTTGGGGTGTGATCAAGCTGGAAAGATGTGGAACACTATCCTGCTTCCTCTCAGGAGACTCTTCAGGAACACATTCTGCCTTAGTACTAACAGAAGGTGGCAGCCCAATGACTTTGCAGACATTGATGATGATTGCCCTTGGTGCCCTAGGGCTTTGGCGAGATGCTGGAATTGTCAGCTGCAGTGGCCCATCTGCAGGCCACACGGAACAGCCAACATGTGAAATGTACCTGGTTTGACCACCAAGACCCACAGACCCTAGCTATCCGGATGAAGGAAAGGAAGCCACAGAGGAGGAACGTAAAGCTCTAGAGGCTTCAGGATACTCTGTAGAGGCCGGATCAATGAGCACTTACGATGATACTGATTAATGGGGAATTGAGACAGGGTTTGGAACTCAGCAGACAGCTTATCCAGGGATTGGGTTCCTGGTCAGCTAGAGCCTTGGGGTGGCTGTCAGGGGGGTGGTGTGGGGGAGCTGGAGGACAGGGAGCACATGGGAAGTGAGGGAATGCTCACTTCTGCCTGCCCCTCCTCCAGCCTCGCTAAGGTCCACTCCTCAGATTTCTCTGGCCTCACGCTGGTCCACCGGCTCCGCCCTGGGACTCTTTCCCAGCCCCAGAGCCATACTGAAGCTTTTTCATTACTTTTCCCAATTTTCTGGTGTGTGTGTGTGTGTGAAATGTGTTTTGTTGTTTTCTAGCTCCTGCTCCAAACATAACAAGTGCTCTGTAAATATTTGTGGAACACAGGGAGGACTTTTAGTCATTTGTTCCTACGTTTGTTCTCCCAACCAGTATTAATGAGCACCAGGCACTCTGTTTGCATAGTGGGTGAGGAGGAGGCAACAGGAAAGCAAGCTGGACCTTTCCTCAGGTTGCTTATCCTTAGGATAGATATGCCCACACCCACTGTGGGAACTACAGAGAGGGCTCACGGTTTCCAGGGGAATCTCCCAATCTTCCCTGTGAGATGCATCACCTCAGGGAGCTATTATCCGGAGCAGAGTGCCGGGTTCCTCTGGTGTCACTCACCCTCAGCAATGCCAGCTCAGGCTGGCCCTTGGGGAGCCGTGGTTGTGGTGGGTCTGGCATCCTCAGGGAGAAACAGAAGAAATTCTTTCCCCCAGTGAAGTCTCAGAAAAAACATTCCCCTCTATTTTCTTTCAAAGTTTAGAAGCTTTGTTTTCTGTTTAAGTCTCGAAGGGATCAGGGATTAATTTTTGTGATTGTGAAGGCAAAATTCCAATTATTTTCCTTATGGATAAGCAATTGTAGCCACATGGTTCTAGTAAATTTTACAGCTCACAAGAAGGTGTTTACAGCTCCTAATAAGCATTGCAGCAGACCGAGACCAACACACCAAGTGTGGACATGGCAATGGAGGTTTATTCCTGCTGGCAGGCCTAGCTGGAGTCCTTTGCCTAAGAGCCAAGTCCCTAGCTTTCAGGGAGTGGGATTTTTATAGGATTTACAACACAGTAGGAGGTACAAGATCAGAGCGTTTGCCCTAGTTTGACAGAAATTTATACTGAATTCCACCTTCTTAGCATGTAACTAAAACAAATTAGAGGTACATGATTGGCTAAGGGAGTTACACTGAATTTCACCTTCTTTGTATATAAGGGAAGCAGGGACAAGAGGTTGCATC